ACGGTGACTCAGCCGGAGCTGGAAGGTCTCGATATTTCTTTTAAAGTAAAAGGACCCAACTTTGCATTTTGGGTCATTTATTAAACGTCTATCTGCTCTTTTACTCACATGTTGCTCTGTATTTCCATGAATCTAAGACGCTGCTAAACACTCATCAGTTCACACGCAGCAGTGAAGGTTTGTGTCATGTCATGTGACTGTGCCAGAGCAGGAGTACAGGAGCGAGCGGTGAGCAGGGTTGTCATGGTTTCCACATGGACAAGAAACAGTTGAAAATCATTTACAGCTTTTCTTCCTCCTGAAGGTTGAAACTGAGGAGAAATGCCGTCCCACAATTCCTTGCTCAGCAACATTTAAAACTAAATCCACAAATATGGATTTATTGTCTTAGATCCAGTCAGGAGTCGTCACGAAGAACAAGCGGATTTATCTAAAGGGGGGTTTATCCTCCATGTTATAAATAAAGTTGGTTCTTCTTTACCATCTTTGGCCTCATGGCGTTTTTCCGACGACTTTTCCCGCCTCTGTTCAGGTCTATAGACGAGATCCACGGGGCGTTTATTTTGGCAGAAGTTTGATTTCAGCCAAACAGCAGGAGCGTCGATAACGTCGCCATCAACAGTCAGAGAGAAGCGGCTCGGCGGTTTTCTCACTGACAGCGTGATGAGTAAATGTAAACCACGTGTTTCACCACCAGGCCAGCTGTGAAACCAGAACAGCAGAGGAAACGTGTGACGTGTGGGGCGTCCTAACTGAAAGCGTGCACACCAGCACGGACGTGCACGCTGCAGCAACACATCTGTTCATCTGTCTAACAATGCAGCAGCGCTGGTCAAAGTGGTCAAAAGTAGACAGAAGTGAAGGGTGTGGCCAACTCCTGACAAGACCCCATCGCCCAATACGGTGGGAGGTAAAGCTGGGGGGCGGGGGGGTATTAAACTCTGTGGCAGCTCAGAAGTCTCATCAGTCAGGAGGGAGAGATGCTCCTCATGGCGCTGTTTCTGTTGTTCTGGCTCTGGTACCCCTCATCTGTTCTCATGTCACTGAAGGTGAGCTGTGTGTGTGTGTTGTGTGTGTGTGGTGTGTTTAACCGACAGCCACGAACCAGCCGGTGATAAGAGGGAAACTTTTGCCTCAACATGTGGCGCGAGTTACTGAGGTTTCATACGTTTTGTATTTGGTTTGTTTATTTGGACGCCGCGGTTTTATACAGTGTTGACACAGGCAGCAACAGCAAAGCATGATGGACCAGGTTGGGGTTTTGGATCAGGAGAAGACAACCCGAGTTTAAGACTTCCTGTTCTGTGGATGCACGTCTCTGACAGGAAAGCGATCTCACATGTAGAGCAGTGAAGGCGTCTGGAGTTCAGTTGCACCCAGAATGTTTGCAGAGTCCCCCCCCCCTCGACTGCAGGTCTGTTACATCACCTCCGTCTCAGTTTGACGTTGATTCACTCCAGACTGCCGAGTCATTACCACTCTCCATGTTACAGGGAAACGCTGGGAAGGGGGGGGGGTGTTGCTTCAGTTACTATAGCAACAGCATGAGTCACTGCGGATGTGTGTGCAGCTCTGTGAGGAGGATGTGTAATCTAGGTCATGCACTACAGTCAGCAGTTTATTTCCCAACTATAGAATGCCATTTTAATCAGATAATGAATGAATGTGAATATAATAATACATTTTAAGATGTCATTTTTATTTATTAATGCAGACTTTTATTTTATAATTCCAGATTTATTTATTTTCAGACTTTTTTTCAGTCCGTCATGTTTCAGACCTGAGAACAGCGCTAGCCACGCTAATTATCTTTAGGTGATGAACCGCTGAATGTGTTTTAAAATCACACATTTACCAACCGAGTCGGTTCGTTAGCGAGCCGGTTATAACACGTCCTCTGAGCAGCTACTTTCTGAGGGAAGACTGGACCTCTCAGTGACTCGGTATCAGAGAGTGACGTGTGTTTGTTGCTGTTTGAATCTCTGTCTGTGTTGATGACTTCTTGATTTGTCTGTTGTTCAGCTGTCACAGGAAGTGAAAGTGAAGCCCGGAGAAGACGCCACTCTTTCACTGTGGTCGTGACGGCGCTACCATTGGAGTGTTGACCTGGAAGAAACAAAACATCTATCTCCTCTTCTTCCGGACAATCACTTGGTCGCGAACTTTCAGGATCCGTCTTATCGTGATCCAGTGGCGCTGATAGATCCAGAGCTGAAGAGCGGCGATGGGTCTGTTGTCTGAGAACATCACCTTCGAAGACGTGGGAGATATGAGTGTTATCTTAAAGAGGAACAACTAGGACGCAACAAGAGAGACACTGGCATCAGAAGTGTCATCGATCTGATCGTGGAAGACGATCGTGGACCGACCGTGGACGGAGGAAACGAGGACGGACATGTTGGATTGATGGTTGGTCTGTCGGTCGCTGTGGTGTCGTTGCTTTGCTGTTGCTGCTGCTGCGTTGCTGCTGTTAAATGCAGAAAGCGACCACCATCATCACCTGCTGATGATGGATCGTGACCTTTGACCTGTCTGAAATTTTCTCCGACCTCTTCTCTCTTTTCCATGTGTGTGAAGGTGCCAAAGCAGCTGCTGGTTTGTAGCGTTTTTTCTTTTCTACTGCTTGTTCATGAGAAAACACACAAATCAAAACATGTTGATTATGAGAGAAATGTTATTAATTTTATATATATATATTATAATATGTGTGTGTGTATATATATAATATACACAGAAGAAAGTAAACGTACAGAGCTTAGACCCGAGACTTGCACTCGACAATTTGCACATATCGAAACTGTAAGAAAACTCTAACGTTGACGACACTACGGTACTTCTAAGTTACCTGAACAGCTCCTGAAAAGTCTGTCCAGCTTTTTTCTGTTGCTGTAGTTTTCATAGTAAGCTTTGAAAAAACCTTAAGAGTGGTACAACGTCCCACAATGCAGCTGGGGTATTTGCTGTCGAGCCTGATCACATTAAACAGACTGGGAGATTATAAAAGCTAGTTGACGTCCTGTTACGAACGGTCCTTTGTTCCTCATATTGTTGCTTATGTCATTAAGTATGTTTAGTTTTGTGTGAATAAATGATATATTTATGCTTGCTAACTGGGAAAAACTTCTAAATCCCCTTTGTAAAAGTTTGTGTTGAAAAGGAAATCCTAGACTTGAAGAGATGTGGACCATTCACTGTCTTCCTGAAGTACTGTCTTTTTGATATTCAATACAAAACCACGCACAAAGACATGGGCTCTATCCATGACACTCAACAACACACAAGAGCTTAAAGTTTCTCATCGTTTCATTCCAACCTATTTTCTCTGGAAGTTGGACTCTTTGTCGTATAAAAGGAATCAGAAATAAAGACAAAAAAACCAAGAGAAACATGTGCCGTGTTTATTTTTAACCTGCAACTCTGGGTTTGAACTAAGAAATGAAAACTTGGTTCAGTGGACGAGCTTGGATATGGAAGAGGGTGATTCCCCACTGGAGCCATGTCTGGAAATGTCCCTGTTTTTCACAGTCAATTTAAAACAGATGTCTAGTGCTTGTTTTAGGCCAGCAAGAAGCTGTAGCTAGCTCAGCGTAGTGCTATGCATTCAGCTGCTAGCGTAGCATTCAGCTGCTAGCCGTAGCATTCAGCTGCTAGCCGTACATTCAGCTGCTAGCTGTAAGCAGTTCAGAAGTGAAGCTAAAACCATCAAAACAGAGTCATCCAAAAACAGATTCAATAGATTAGATGGATAGATAGATGGATTAGATGGAGTAGATGGATGGTAGAGTAGAGTAGACAAGTAGAATTAGATAGATGATTAGATAGATAGTATGAATAGATAGATAGATGGTATGGATAGATGATAGATAGATGATAGATAGATAGATATAAGATAGATAGATTAGATAGATTGATAGAATAAGATAATAGATGGAAGATGGATAGATAGATGATGATAGAGATGATAGAGATGGAGATATAGAGATAGATAGATAGATAGATAGATGACGATAGATAGATAGATAGATAGATAGATAGATAGATAGATAGATAGATAGATAGATAGATAGATAGATAGATAGATAGATAGATAGATAGATAGATAGATGATATGAGATAGATAGATTGGATAGATAGATAGATGATAGGATAGATAGGTAGCAGATTGAGATAAGATTAGTCAGTGAGATAGATTAGCATAGTGGATATGATGATAGAAGATATATAAGATAGATAGACTAGATCAACTAATAGATGAGACAGCTCCGATACGATAGTATAGATTGATAGATCCACCAGATAGATAGATAGATAGATAGATAGATAGATAGATAGATAGATAGATATATGGATAGATAGATGGATGATGGATAGATAGATAGATGGATAGATAGATAGATAGATGATAGATAGATAGATAGATAGATGGATAGATGGATGATGGATGGATAGATAGATAGATAGATAGATAGATAGATGGATAGACAGATGGATAGATAGACAGATAGACAGATAGATAGATAGATAGATAGATAGATAGATAGATAGATAGATGATAGATAGATAGATAGACAGATGGATAGATGATAGATATATGGATAGACAGATAGACAGATAGATAGATAGATGGATAGATGGATAGATGATAGATAGATGATAGATGATAGATAGATAGATAGATAGATAGATAGATGATAGATAGATAGATGATAGATAGATAGACAGATAGACAGATAGATAGATAGATGGATGGGGGTGGGTAGGTAGATTCTTTATCTATCCTGTTGTACAGCCTGATGGCAGCGGGAACAAAGGAACTGAATGTCCGTCTGTCTGTTTCTATGACGCTGTGAATCACACACATCGCATCATCTGAGCGGCAACCAGTCATGACTTCAGTTCGTTTATCAGCTGTTTTATTGATCAATTCTCATTAATATTTTAATAAAATGTCAGAAAATAGTGACAATGATAGTTTTTAATCTTTTACTCTTCAGTTTATTATTGATTGAATTTATTATTGACTGATTTAAATAGCAGTTATTGATTAATTTACTATGAGCAGCACATATTGAAATACATAAACTGACAGGAGGTGTGTGTGTGTGTGTGTGTGTGTGTGTGTGTGTGTGTGTGTGTGTGTGTGTGTGTGTGTGTGTGTGTGTGTGTGTGTGTAACATACAATGAAATAAATAACATTGAGACCAGTTAGTGAGCAGCTAACCAGCAGCAGGACGTCAGTGGTCAGACTGGTGAGAACCTGGTGAGAACCTGAGTGAAGAGTAGACGATCCCTGGGTCAGGTGGACACACACATGGATCATGTGATAAACACTCGTGACCTCTGTGGGCGGAGCCTGTTGTACCTCTGACGTCTGCTGTTCTTCTCACTGCTGCGTAAACTGCAGCTGCATCAGTCTCTGCAACAGAAGAGTCATTATACTCTGATTATTTTTACAGCTGCAAACATCAGGATGTAGTGACATCACTCGGCCGGTGGTTTTTAATGAAACAGGAAACGACAACAGAGCTTCTCTCTTCTGTCTCACTTCAGCAAAAGGAAACAACCATGTCGACCAAACTTTACTAAACCAAAGCCTCAGTTCAAATTTAAAGGTTAATTAAATCATCTGTGTTCCTCCAGACGTGTTTTACACTCCAACATGGTTTTCATCTCCTCTTACTTCCTGGTTGAGGAATCTGGGTCAGGTGAGAGAGAAGACAGTATGAAGATGGTGAGAGGAGGAAACATCAGAGAGACTCAGTCAGACCCAGACTCCGAGTCTGTTGAGACCAGAACCAGAGACTAGCAGACGGATCAGAGCCGTTAGCTAGTTAGCATCTTTTCAGAATGGTTAGCATAGTTAGCATCTTTTCAGAACAGTTAGTGTAGTTAGCATCTTTTATTTGTTCATGTTGTTTGTTAGCTTGTAACTGGCAGTGGCTGACGCAGTGTTAGCAGTTGTGCTAATGCTAACTCTCTCTCCCTCTACTGACAAAGTTTCAGGTTTATTTAGCCACGCCCCCCGTCCCCACAAGCTGACAGGATTGGTTCCTGGGGTTTGTGACGTCATTGGTTCACTGCGCTGTTTATTCTCATAAATAAATAAATAAAGCTGAATCCATCAACAGCTCTACGATACCTCCGCTTTGTCTGCTCGGGTTTTGTAGGTGATGTGATGATGTGATGTCATCTGTGATGTCATCAAGTCCTGCCTCTTCCTCTGGACCTAGATTGAACCAAGGTGACCAACAGAGTAATTTGAGAAGCCAGTGAACTGATGCTGTCCCCCCCCCGCCCCCCTTCAGTGGAGCCCCTGCTGATGTCTACTGTAGCCTGGATGTGATGCCTTCAGGGAGCGCTGGTAAATCATATCATTGTGAGGTTCTGATGATGTCTCTGTATCAGGTCTGTCTCACCTGTAGGTTTCCTCAGGAAGCGTCGTCTCACCAGCAGAACCAGAACAACCAGAACAATCAGACCACAGACGGACCACAACACTGTGAGTGGAGGAGATTCACCGGAGGGGGAGGAGCAACCAGAACCACAGAGAGTTGCAGGAGGAGTGGGGGGGTTTCCTGTTAACAAGAAATAATTTGTGATAAAAGGAGGAGACCGACACTGTTTACAAAGTCCTGACCTTTGACCTCCTGACCTGTGACAGTGATCCAGCTGGGCGGAGACTCTCCATGACCTCTGATGTCACAGCTGTAGAGGCCTTCATCAGACTTGTCAACATGGTGGATGGTCATGTGACCTGTAGTCTCTTTGATGAGGGAGCCATCTTTATAGAAAGCAGCTGGGAGGTTGGAGGGAGGGGTCTTTGTTTTACAGTGCAGAGTGACATCATGTCCCTCCATCACAGGGAGGACAGGACTCTGCAGGATCACTGCTCCACCTCAACACACAGACAAACTACAGCATTTCATCCATTTACACACAGCTTCATCAACACTGACTCCACAGTCTGATCTTACCAGTGACAGTGATGCTGATGCTGTTACTGGTTGCTCCCTCTCTGGACTCACACCAGTAAACTCCACTGTCGCCTGGGAGGATGTAGCTGATGTTACAGGAAGAACCAGCTGATCTTCCCCAGTCAGCTCCACACTGAGTCCTGGTTTCTCTGGTGGTGTTCCTCCTCAGCCTCCATCCAGCAGAGCTGTCGTCCTCCTCACAGCTCAGAGAGACAGAGGCTCCTTTAAACAGCTGAGAGCTGCTGGGACTCACCGTCAGACCAGCTGGAGGGAAGGGGAGGGGCCGTTAATGCCATACTTGGACAGGTGATTGTATTTTCAATAAATATAATACCTTCTAACTAAGAAGAAACACCCTCTCAGAGCAGTGAGGCTCTGTGTTTCTCTGTCTTTATAACAGCTACTTCTAAAAAGCATCAACCTCCAGACTGAAACTGAAGCATCAACAGTGAAGAACCAGAAGCTGCAGTTCCTTAATGGCCACTAGAGTCTGGCTTTAACAGTGAGTCAGTCCCCATAGACTCCATGTTATAAATGTCCAACTTTACAGCAGAAATAAACATGTTTACAGCCTGGTACAAAACTGTTTTGGGTCTCTAGAGCTAATTTTCTCCTTCATGACACCTGTTTATAAAACTCACCTGTTTATATAATTCACTCTGTTTATATAACTCACCTGTTTACATTTTATTAAGGACTAAAGTTATGGAGGATTGAGGGCGTGGCCTCTTTGACAGGTGGGTTGAGCGTATGAGTGTCACTATGATCTCTCAGCTCCACACACGCCCTCCTCTTTTCCCATTTTGGATTAAGCTGGCAACTAGCTCACTCTGAGCTTCAGAAACTGTTGGCTGACGTCACAGAGGCGACGTCCATCTTTATTAATAGTGTGTGGGTTCTACATTTGCTTTGACTGCTGTAGATTCTACAGAGTAAAAACAGGAAGTGACTGAAAAAAGCTTCATCTCAGATTGCTCTTAACATTTCCTGAACTCTGACGCGTCTCAGCCAGTTTCCTACACATGGTCAGGTGGTTTCTGAACAGCGACATGTCACGTACTCACCTTTGGCGGACACGCAGCACAGCGACAGGATCAGCCCTGAAAGAAAGAGTTCACATGGAACCAGATCAAGAGGTAGAGAAACCAGGTCCTACGTCTTGTGTGAACTAAACCAGCTCTCAGCTTCTCACAGGAGGCCAGAGTAAAGATCTCAGGCCGGTTGAAAAAAAACACCTTACGTTTGACACTGAGGGTTTAATTTCTCCTCAGCCGAGGGACTGACTTAAGGGTGTTGCACAGAATCTCTTAAAAGGGTCAGTTTAGTGATTTACAGCAGTGAAAGAGATTTTACAGCAGTAAAGTTCTACAGTTTCCATGGAGACCATTACTGAAGCCGGCAACATTACAGCATTGCTCTGCTATTTCAGCCTCTTATCGTTTTGACGGGAACTTTGCGGAAACCTTAAGGAGAAGACTTGAGGGTGTTTTGCGCCCACGTCCTTGAAGCGAGGTCTGAACCGTTAGTGGCAGACGCTTTGCAGAGATGATGTGAAGGCCTGAGGTACAGTTTTACCTCATCACTTCCTGAACAGACACTAGAGCTAACCATCAAAGACAAAGCAGCAGAGGACAGTCGTCTCCAAAGGTACAACACTATGATTTAGAGCCACGGCGTAGGTTTGCATGTGGACGGTAACAACATGTCCACACCAATATTTGAGTGAACTCGTTCACACTACGTTTAGACTGAAGTCATATTAGGTCATTCTGATGTTCCCTCCAACAGGCGGCGTCTCCAAGACAACCACTTTAGGAATGGTAGCATTTGATTTGCCTAAAGTGCGGGAGCTATCTGAAGGCTCACGACAGTTGAGGATATCATCTGACGTCACCAGAAAAATGTCAACTGATGTTGTTTAACCACGTTAGCTAACGTTAACTAGCAAGCTAACCATGGCTTTTATGTTATGCACGCTAGCAGTCAGGTTGCTAGCAGCAGTATACATAAAATGGTGGATATATCAAAGCATGAGCTGAATTTCTGTTGAGAAATCCAATAAAAATGTCACCATGAATGAATTATTTTATAGTAGGTAGATCAGCTGATGAGGAAACAGGTTCAGGGTTTTAAGTGAAATTTAAAAATGACAGATAATCAAATATAACTATGTTAAACTAATTGGTTGACAGCATTTAAAAGACATTTGTTTTGTAAGGTTAGCCGTTTTGTTGCGTCGCTACCAATGTTGAGGCCAAACCTACGCCCTTGTACAGATCTGTACTTGCTGCGACGCCCCCCCCCCCCGCCTCCTTTAAATCGCAGCAGCCAGTTTTTCCTTGATTCGCGCACCCTGCTCATGGTTCTTCAGGTACATGGCAGGAAAGTTGTTCCAGCACCTTTGAGAAGCTGCAGTTCCTTCTGAATAAGACTCTCAGTCATCATCACTTGTATAGACAGAAAAAGAGTCACTTACAGAGCAGACGTCGCAGAGACGAGTCCTCCATGCTTCACTTACTGATTTAGCGAGTGTGTTTTTTTTTGTTTTACTGAGTCGAAGTAAAGCCCTCCCTCTTCCTCTCTGCAAGTGAGAGTCTGGTTGTGGTTTTCTCAGTTTCTACCTCTGAGAGAAATGTTACTTTGGTGTTTTGTTCTTTTCTATTTCTATATGTTGAATACAGATGTGCAGCGGTAAAAAGAAAGAAGGTAGAGATGGTGAAAGTGCGTATCGACTCCACAGCTTCTTTCACGGTGACGAGACTTTAATCCTCCAACTGATTGAGAGCAACACACTGGTTTATTATCACTAATAAACTCACCAATAACAACTAATGAAAACACTTAGTGAAGTCAGGATGAATGGAAGTTCTGGGCTGCAGCAAAACATGAAGCCACTTCATCTCCCTTCATCTCTCAGATGTTAAAATGGTCGAGCTACTGGGAAACGTGGAGGAAGTGTGTGCGTACTTGCATGTCAGCAGCCAGTACGTGTGCGCATGTGGTAAAGGGGTATTAAGGACATGTGGCTGAGCCGTGTTGTACGCTACCTTCTGCACGTGGTCTCTAAGAGGCATTTCTGAAGGCATGCAGAGAAACCACGTCCGAGATGAACTGTGTTTACTGGCAGCACCTGAAGACCGACTGCGTCACAGCGGCGCAACCACACTGGCCTATTTTAAAGGCTCCTTCGAACGTGGCCTTTGTTTCCTGGACAACGAAGGCTCCGACAGGTGGACCCCGTCATGGTCCAACATATCCCAGGATTCATTGCACGCATGTAATTAAAGCAAACAGCACCAACAAAGAGCCTGAGGATTACAGTGTTGTATTTAAGTCTTGTGTTCCAGCTCAGTTCAACAGCTAACGGTACAACTGGTAAAACCAAGAGACCTAAAACGTTTACGTTACGTTTTGTCAAGGTTGCTAGGCAACAGGTGCTACACTTTTCAATGCAAAGGTAAGGGTGGGAAACAGCTTGTGAATCGAAGGGAAAACACTCTGTAGGCCAGAGGTCTCATTTTGGTTCGGCCTTCGCGAGTCTACAGCAGCTGCGAAGGGCCACACCTTCCTGGACCATGTCAAAACAGTTTCTAACAACAACCAACACTTTACGGCAACACCACGGTAACTCCCAGGGGACCCACCACCTCCACAAAGCAAAAAAACATGGGAAACACAAGAGAATCTGTTCTGATAGCGAGAGTGGTGAACCTACCTTTGTCACCATGGTCACTATAGTGACGGTTATGGCTTCGTTAGGTTCGGGGAACAATTGTAGTTTGGGTTAAAATAAGTAGTTCCTCAACATTAGCAGACCTTTGTTGCCATGGTTACAATAATAAAACAACATTGAAAGGTCACGGATAGTAGAAACAACATAAACTAAAGCTACTTTCACATGGGAATCGAACAATGATCTCATGTGTCACATTCCTGTTTTGTTGACTTGTCATCATTACTACGACCACTAGATGTCGCCTAGCAACAAAACCTAACTATGGGTCATAATAACCTGCTGCACAGACGACCTGTGGGCTCGTTTCACGAGTGCTCGTCAGTCTTATGGCCACTGAAGTATCTGTGGGCCCAGAACAGTGAGACCACTGTCCTCTGTATCTCCAGTCTGAGCTGACCGCAGTTTTCTTGATTTCTACATTGTTTTCTAAAGGTTCTTGCATATGACATAATGCCATAGTGACAGTGTTTTATATCACAATTATCAGAACTATCTCAGCTCCTTCTCTAATGACGGCCCCTTTTTGACTGTGCAAAGAGATAATTTGACCCAAACACTGAAACAAGCCGCGGTCTTTTGAAATTCTCCAAACCTTTACTGATGTGGATGAATTGAAATAGGTTAACCAAAGTCTTGGATTCATAAAAGTAGTGCAACATGTGAATAAAATGGTAGATAAATGTACAATAAATGCCCAAAATGCAAAGTGTTATCTGTCAATCTCCTTCTAGCTCCGCCTCTGAGTTGTGTATAATCTCACAAGCATATGAAATATAAAGTGGAGAGAGATTCCACCAGCATTTACCAGATATTAATAGAAACATCCGTTAAAAAGTAACTACGATCTTTTAACCTTTGAGAACACGATATGTCAGAGACTGAATCACAACCTGAAAGAAGCAGAGCAGAGTCTGACTACTATCAAACACACGGCAAAATCACAACTTCACAACTTCTGCAGAGGTGTCAGTGAGGAAGCACAACTGAATTTGAAGCTGCTGCTTCTCACGGTAGAAAAAGAGGTTTCCTGTTTGTTGATGGCAGCTCTGTCACGCCTGTTATAACGACTGAAAACCCCAGTTAACTGTAAAACACAGAGAACAAATGATAATCTTTATGAAATATAAAGTCTGGATTCACACACCTGTATGACAGACATGTATGATGTTGCACATCTGTAAATCTAAAAAACATCTGTAAAATGTCAACTGTTAGGTCACTGGTGTCTCTTAATGTTCCCAGAATGCACCAGCAGCAGATATCACAGTATTAGTTGTTAGTATAATTGTTTGAAAGTTGAGCAGCAGTGATCAGTCTGTGCCAGCAGAGGGCGCTCTGACTAAACACTGCATTTATATATGTCTGGTTCACAGGAGGTTTTCTGTTATTATGTTTACTAAAGCTTGAGTTCCTGCTTCTTCTGATTATCATTATTCATTTTTTTTTCTTTTCATTATAACTGCTCCTTGCCGCTGAATGTAAAATATAAACTGGGCTACTATTTCTGAGGTTTGTATGAACAGGATCCTGAGGACTTAGTGTTTGGTGGTGACTTTGCTAAACCTCCCTGTACCAGTAGTTGTTATTATCAGAGGCTAGAATGAAACAAATAAACATTAGTAATCCATATGGCGGTGCCTCCACTGTGGGACTACGTCACTCACACTCAGACTAATGTTTGTATTCCTTCAGAAACAATGGTAGACATCTTAACTGGAAATAAATCTACGGGAAATGTTTCTTTTCAAATTGTAATATTATTTCAAAACAAATCTATTTTCTCTTTTGCTCCACTATATTTAATGAACTCAAAATAAATACCAGTGCAATTAAACAAAAATAACAAATTAATAAAATTTAAATTTAAATTGACCATATGAAAAATAATGATTAAACAAAATATTTAGATTACACACGCTTAAAAAATGAACACTTTCCTTGTTTTTTCCCACAAGACAACAGGAAACATTACACTTTAACTTGAATTATATTCATCACAATAGAAAAGTCTCAGTTAAATCACTTTGTGGTGTGACAGTTCAAACTTTAAAAGAGTTGAAACTATTACCAAGCGCTTAGATTTCTAACTGTTGGGTTTGAACATGAATAAATGTCAAAACACAAGGATTAAACGCAAATCAAATGGAAAACATTTATTCCACCCAAAACAAAATAAAGTCAAATAATAACACCCAGGTTTTAGTTTCAGTTTATAGTACCAGAGTGTTGGAGCTCATTTTGAAAGGAATACTGTCATTACTCACTGTCCCGTGGGAAAAGGCAGGAATATTTTAGAGCCAGGAGGTGTAAACCCTCTGTCCAGCGGCTGAAGAACACCTGTCCTGAGGCTTGATCCATGTGCAGAAAGTAGTCTGAGCACCTCTGCTGCAGCATGGTGGCAGTGTCTGAAGCACACTGTCAATGAAACACACAAAGTCTGGATTAACTATGACTGATTTTTTAAGCAATATCACGAAGGGTTCAGTACAACACGAGCTTGAGTGTGATATTGCTTTTACACATCAGTTCTATGAGCGCCATATTAGTTAAATAAACATCATTTATTTGACTATGCCAACACAAATAGTTCCGCAACTGGACTGTTGCTAAGCAACACAAACCTGCACAGTAGAGATGGGATTTATGGCTCTTTGGAGGGAGCTGGATCTTTGAATTATTCTGAAATACTGATTATAGCTTCATTTGACATGTGGACAAGATTTTAAAGTCTGATATGGATTCATTGTAAATAGGAGACTGTGAAGTCATGACTGAGAGACGTTTGTTTAGATTTTGTGGTAGCAGCAGGAATTGTTTTACCAGGTGCCTGGCCAGGCAAAGATGTGGGCCCAGTGGTAACAGAGGCTGCTGCTGTAGCTGGAGGCAGAAGTACTGGCACTCTCCACTTCATCGTCAGAGTCATGCTCTCTCCTCACCTCTGAGATTTTAACAGTTGGGTGTTGAGTTTTAAAATGCCTGTGCAAATTGTTTGTGGAGCCAGACTTAAATGAAATCATCTTCTGGCAAATATTGCATTTAGCCTTACTGTCTGCCTCAAGCGAAAAGTGCATCCAAATGCTGCTCCTTTTTCTTTGGCTCATTTTGCAGAACGACGGACGGTCCTCCCCCTCCTTCAGGCTGCTGTTGACTGCACTGCCGACTCTGAGGCACTTTTTTTTTAATGAGGCACTCAAGTCAAAGGAGCGTGCACAACTCATGCAATATTTGCATATGAAATGAGCGCTCCTCCCCATGCTCTCTCCGTCTCACTCAGTGGAGGAGCAAGGAGGAGCTTGTGTGAGCATCTGTGTGAACCATAGGTGTGAACTCAGGGAGAGAGAGAAAAAAAAGAACGGCTCCCAACCAAACGCGACTCGGTTCCCATCGTTCATGTTAATGAGCCGGTCAAAAGATTCGGCTCGTTCATGAACGTCACAACTCTACTGCACAGGGCACACTAGCTTGCTACTTCGTCGACACGTTAGCTCAGGTGTTTCTGAAGTATCCAGGCTTCTTCCTTCATCCTCCTCTGACGACCAGACATCATTTAATTCAAATGTTGTTTATGGAAATATTTTCATCTTTGCAAAGTTAATCTAAGATAGATAACGACCCTTAAAGTTACGCTAATTGACGGTTAAGCGGAGTGATACATGAAGTTAAAAGTCCCATGCTGTTTTATCAGCACTCATGGAATACGTCTCGTCCAATCAAATGACTTAGTCTAAACTAACTAACGTAATAAAATAGTTTTTAGGATTCATACTCACC